TTGAACGTTTGTGTGATTTTTCGATAGAATAGTCTTTTTGTGATACACCGGGTGAATAGGAACTGTGTGATAGACAAAACATAGCAGAACATCGGGTGAAGGACCAAACACAGGAAGTCCCTAGGGATCCAAGTACCTTCTCAGAAGGTGTTTGGGGTGGGTTTGGAGGGTCCAGGTGCCTTCTGAGAAGGTACGACTGGATTGGTAGGGGTTTGGGTGATAGGAGCAAAAACCATTTCAATGGCAGCTGGCCACTGCCTTCCCAAGGGTCCAGGAATGTCCAGGATCCTCATCATCCAACCAAACATGGACCCTTTAGTGCTGTCCCCTTGTGGCATTGTGGCAGTTGATTCCGATCATAAATAACAGTACTTTCATTGAAGTGAGGAACATACACATGACCTATACCCAGGATCCTCTTCATCCACCAAAAAGGGACCCCTGGTGCTGTCCCTGGCACCCTGCCCTCTGGCCTCAATCCGCAGCAGTTGGTTGTACTTTGATAAGCCTTGGAGGAGGAAGTGAAGTGCTGTAGACTTCGAAGATCAATTTTGTCGGGTGCACCCTAGATCTCATGCACAGGATCCCTTCTAGCCAGGTGACCAAGTTGGAGGGTGGAGGGATTGCGGATGGTCATGCCTTTGTGTCCCTAAAATACCTCCATGGCGACTGGCACGAACGGATGGCACCATGGCACCATGGCACCATCTCCATGCGGAACACTGGCCACCCGCTGTGGACCGGCGTCTGTTCATCGAGCTGTGGCGGAAACCTGGTGGATTTGGGTCCGGCTGATGTCCCGACCCATAGCTCTTCAAGTCTCGGATTGCATCGAGTCTGCGAGGGCGAGGGCGGGGGCAGGTCGTCTGCTTCGGATCACGAAGATAACCACACATGAGGAATTGTTCAAGGACCGTGCCATGATTCACCCAAGACCGGAGCTAGCTCTCTCTCTCTCTCTCTCTCTTGCTCCCTCCCTCCCTCCCTCCCTCCCTCTCGCTCCATCTCTCCATCTCTCGATCTCCATTCATCTCTCTCTCTCTCTCACTCTCTCTCTCTCTCTCTCTTTCTCTCTTTCTCTCTCTCTCTCTCTTTTTTTCTCTCGCTCACAAGTCGTACAGTCGATGCAATCCAGGGCACGTTCAGAGCGGCAAGGCGCTCCAGTCTTGATCCTTGGGCCAAGCACGACTCAGACTCGCTTGGGGAGTAGGAAAGGGTAGGAGAAACGAGTAGGATTACAAATGACAGAGTTTGGAAAAAGAAGCAAACAGTGGGCGTTCTACCCAAAAGGCCATTCTGGATCGATCCAAACCCGAGCGGAATTCGACGTCGGGGTCCAGACCCAGCTTGCAGTTGAAAGAGGTCCTTCCAAATTCCCTTGCAGTCTGGGAAACCAAAAAAACAAAGCCATTGGAGTCCTTGGAGGTCTGGAATCCACTTCCAACATTGGTCAAAAGAGAGGAGATGCTATCCGAAAGCTGGAAAGCTGCTTGGGAATCGTGTCGCGACAGATCCAGTACGCTCCTTTCATGCAGGCCGCATGCGGTGAGATTCAGTCTCCGGGGTCATCGCAAGAGCATTCAGAAAACTGCGCAAGGTCTCGTGAGCGGTCAGACCAAGCAGGTTGCGTCACCTCCAACCTCGAGTGGCCTCAGAGAAGAACACGAAACGAACACCGCTGGGCTTCTCGGCTGACCAGCCCGCAGTCCAACCACCAAGTCCGCAATGAAGGAGTCCTGGAGATCGAGAAAGGGCGTTTTAGAGGCGTGGAGCCAATGTCTTGGGTTAGGACTAGTAAAAAAAAAAACAACATGAAAGAACACCTAATACGATGGTCTCCAACCTACTAGCGATGGCCTCCAACCTACTAGCGATGGTCTTGGGTTTCCTTCTATCAAATCCAAGAATCTCCCAGTCTCCGAGTTGATCACCTAAGGACGTCCTGACATCTCCCAGAACAAGTGTGGATGATAAACTCACATACTCAATTCAGGGACGCTCCCAAAACTGTCATGGCACTGAGATAGTTTGCACTAAAGACTTCTAAAACTGCCATGGCTCTGAG